TCAAAAAGGCAACCTTCAAAAAGATCGTCCCAGTGTGTAGCAAAAAGAAGGTTTTTGGTGCACACCAAATGTGTACACCACAATTCAAATGGGGATTTTAGGACCACAACAAAACAAACCCGGACACAAAATGCTTTGTATATAATTTTTTACAATTTTCCAAAGTTTTAATCTTCAAAAAATCATTAAAAAAAAATCTGCTCATGCGAATTGCTTTCTTTTTTTGCGTTAGATTCCTTGCATTGTTCTTCACCACCATGTAAAAAACCAAAACATTTGAATTTCTGCCCCTTCTTGTGCACCGAAAACCCAGTTTGGGGGAATAGAGGTTAAACTGGCCTGTGTTTGCCCTTGGTGTGCACCAAAAACCTCCCCCACAATGTTAGGATCTCCATACCAAATGTATACACCATAATTCAAATGGGCATTTTTGGAGCACAACAAAATAAACCCCAACCCAAAATGCTTAGTATGTAATTTTTTACGATATTCCAGAGAAAAAGGACAACCTTCGAAAAGATCGTTCCTTGGTACGCACGCCCTCGGTGTGCAGCAAAAAGAAGGTTTTTGGCATACACCAAGTGTGTGTACTCCAAGTGTATACAGCACAATTAAAATGGGGATTTTAAGAGCACAACGAAACAAACCCGACCCAAAATGCTTCGTATATGATTTTTTACGATTTTCCAAAGTTTTAATCCACAAAAAATCATTAAGAAAAATCCGCTCGTGCGAATTGCTCCATTTTTTTTGAGTTAGATTCCTTGCATTTCTCTTCACCACTATGAAAAAAGCCAAAACTTTAGAATTTCTTCCCCTTCGTGTGGATCGAAAACCCAGTTTGGGGGAATAAAGGTTAATGTGGGCTGTGTTTGCCCTTGGTGTGAACCAAAAACCTTCTTTTGAAAAAATCGTCCCCCACAAAGTTCTGGATCTCCTAACCAAATGTATACACCTCAATTCAAATGGGGATTTGTGGAGCACCGCAAAACAAACCCCAACCAAAAATGCAGAGTATATGATTTTTTACGATTTTCCAAAATTTTAATCTTAAAAAAATCATTAAAAAAACTCCCCTCCTATGAATTACTTCCTTTTTTGTGCGTCTGGTTCCTTGCATTTTTCTCCACCACCATGAAAAGGACCAGATCAAAAGGACAACCTTCGAAATGATAGTCCCTTGGCCAGCATGCCCTCGGTGTGGAACAAAAAGAAGGTTTTTGGTGCACTCCAAGTGTATACACCAAATTTCAAATGGGGATTTTAAGAGCACAACAAATCAAACCCCAACCCGAAATGCTTAGTATATGAATTTTTATGATTTTTCAAACTTTTAATCTTCCAAAAATCATTAAAAAAAATCCACTCGTGTGAATTGCTTCCTTTTTTTTGTGTGTGTTATATTCCTTGCATTTTTCTTCACCATCATGGAAAAACTTTATACAATCACCAAAGGCAATGAGCTCCTTAAGTGCCCAATATCAGGCAAACTCATGGAATCTAAAAGAACTTCTTCTTCATCTTCTGGGAATAACTCCTTATAAAACTCATTATCATCCAACCCATAGAAGATTGTCATCAAATTTTCTTCACTTCCGTTAGGAGGGTCTTCATCTACACTTGAATTTGTATTAGTTTCAGTTTTTGTTGCACTACCATCATCAACTATCATTTGGAAAGGGGATTGTACTTGTTTTTCATCCTCTGGGAATAGCTCATCATTTTCCAAATTTCTCCGCTTCCAAGGCTCTTCATCCAAACTCATGGCATTTGAAACAACTTCCTCATCCTCTGGAAATAGCTCCTTCTAATACTTATCATCATTCAACTCAACAAAGAATGTTGTCAAATCATCTCCAATAACTTTAGAAGGAGGCTCTACATCTACACTTGAACCTATAGCAGTTTCAGACTTGCTTCTACTACCATCTAATGAAATATGGAATGCTATGATTGTGCTTGATTACATGCTTTGATTATGCTTGATTACATGCTGTGATTGTGCTTCCCGGATTTCATGTGATTCCATCTTTATGATGAGATTTGTATTACCATAGTTTGCTTAAACTTTTCTGCATAAATTCATCTCTGTACAGACATACACAATACAACAATTCAATATACTTTTCCTTGAGCATTCTTTTTCTTCTCTTTGGCATACTTCGGAAATACAGTTGCTTATCTTGCCTCTCTTTTATGCTTAGTTCTGACACCATCAACTACTTGGAAAGAAGATTGTACTTGCTCTTCATCAACAAATAAATCTCCAAGGTCAGGACTCAGCACAATCATAATCATTAGTCACACCAGGAAAAATCACTTGTACGAGAGCTGAATTTCTGCATTGTCTTGAGTAACATCATTATCATTCACAAGTGCTTTGGCTTACGATTCTACCCATTCTTGATAATTTTGAACCTTAATGCATTTATTAGACCCAAGATTCTCATCAAAATGCTTAGCTTCAATAACGGTCCAGGCTTTAGGAGTTCAGAAAGAATAACTACATAGACAACAACAATGAGTCAGTGAATTATCAGGAACAAATAGTTTTGGAGCAGATAATTATCATGTAAATTATGCAGAATGTAAAGTTTCCAATTGTAATCGGCAGAAAATTATACTTAAGGCAGTAACCTGATGATCTAGGACATAAAGGAAGGATGCAAATGGGTATTTCTTCCTTATCTTCTACATTTTAGGATTGAGTGGTATCCCTCTCTTGATTTCTCCTCTTAACCTATTAATTTCTCTCCATCTCCCCTATATAGAATCCTATATTGTCTATCTCTGTTATTCTTCTCCTCCTCTATCACCCAAGGAGCAAAAATATTATCTACTAGACACTATCACTACCGGAGTTTTTTCCAACATTTCACAACATCAAGAATCCATAAGAAAATGGTTAAACAGCACATCCACAAAAAAAACTAAATAAACTGACAAAACATATGCTGCAATGAAATCTATATAGATTTGAGACATATTTAGATATTAAAATAGACTCGTAGCTTAGTTAACAGCCTATTAAATGAGCTATAAGATAACACCGTTTGATAACATTAGAGGGATCTTACCTGAGTCCATTTTCATGCCATGCTACTTCATAGATTTTAGCGGCAATTTGAAATCCCATTTCCAGACCATGATGTTTCATAGTTTTCAATGGCAATAATTGCATATCGACCAAATCTCCATGGATCACCATTACAACGGCTGCATATATAACACCAAACCATATTTCTCTTGACTGCAATGTTGTCATGTCAACCGTTCCAGCAGGTAGATCCCATTGACCAACCCCTGCTCTGCATCCATATTCTTTAAAACGTTATAGTTAAAAACCTTTTCTAATGCTCTTCTTGCTTTGTCTTCATCGACTATCATTGAAAGAGCACATGCNAAAAAAAAAAAAACACTAAATAAACTAACAAAACATATGCTGCAATGAAATCTATATAGATTTGAGACAAATTTAGATATTAGAATAGACTCGTAGATTAGTTAACAGCCTATTAACTGAGCTATAAGAGAACAACGTTTGATAACATTAGGGGGATCTTACCCGAGTCCATTTTCATGCCATGCTACTTCATAGATTTTAGAGGCAATTTGAAATCCCATTTCCAAACTATGTTGTTTCATAGTTTTCAATGGCAATGATTACATATTGACAAAATCTCCATGGATCACCATTACAACAGTTGCATATGGAACACTAAACCATATTTCTCTTGATTGCAATCTTGTCATGTCAATTGTTCCAACAGGTAGATGCCATTGACCAGCCTCTGCTCTGTATCCATATTCTTTAAGACATTATAGTTAAAAACCTTCTCTAATGCTCTTCTTGCTTTGTCTTCATCGACTATCATTGAAAGAGCACATGCTCGTGCATAACTACATTGAGACACACCTGGTAAGTTCTAGTCTTATTAGATTTGAACTAAAAAGAATATATATTGAGAAAAATAAACATGTGAAACACTATAAATAAATTAAGATTTTTCAGGCTCGGATAATTGAGAATATCAATGAATGAAGTTAATCAGTTGCATCATACCATTGTCTAGTAAACTGATCAGGTTGAATAGATGAACTTGACTAGCTACCATTATGTTGAAGTAAGAACCATTCCACAATTTCTCACTTGCAACTTTTGCTTACTAAAATTTGCACCAGAAATAATCCTCAAACCCTTAAGACCTACTTCATGTGCAAATGCTACCGCAACCTGCAATGCTGCCACCTCCACTATATACACTTACAACAGAGACATATCATGTATTATATGTTTGATAAGGGAAGCCATCATTCTCAATCATCCCCATCACCATTTCTATTAAATTTAAACAGATGAAAGTGTTTACTGAACCTTCTTCTTACTGTAACCGAAATAGAGCGTTTCGGTAGCAGGATGAACTTTTACAGGATTCTGCTCCTAAAAAAGTTTAATACTTACTAAAGTTTTTTCACGTAAACTTCAATTTCGCTTTTGGACTAGAAATTAAGGAAGCTGGTTCAAACATTCATGATAATTTCCGGCCTTCATTATTAGCTGCATCACTAAGGACATTGTCAATTCAGTCACCTTCACATTTCTCTTTGCCATCTTATGAAAGAGTTCAACAACTTTTGCTATCTTATTACTTTTGAGGAAACTAAACATAAGTGTATTAAATGTGACTACATCTGGAGCACATCCTTTTTCCCCCATATATGACAACAACTCATTTGCCTTTTCTAGTCGTCCAGTTTTACAAAGCCCATTGATCAAATGCTATATGTTACAACATTTGGCACTAGGTTTTCATGAAGAGAAAAATTCTGAAATAGGTTCCAGCCAGTTTTGAATCTCCTTGTTTTACATAATCCATCAATGAGGGATTCAAACCTTCAAGGCTAACTACAAACTGATTATTTACTAAAGTATTAAACATTTCCACCGCTTCCAAAACACATCCATTCTTGCAAAGTCCATCAATGAAAATGTTATATGTCTAGGAATTAGGTAAAACACCATTAAGTTGCATCTCACCAACTAAATTCCATGAATCTTTTACATTAGCTTTAAGAAAAAGGTCAGTTAACAAAGTGTTATAAATTATCACATCAAGCGTAATTCCTTTAGAAATCATCTTTCGATAAAGATAAAGAGCTTTGTTGACTTTTTTATTCTTGCAATACCAATTGATTAAAGTATTGTAGCTAACAACATCAGGTCCATACCCCTTTCTAGTTATAGAATCAAACAACTCCCTTGCATCACTAATTCTATCAGCAAAGCAATCACCATTCATTAAAATATTGTAAGTATAAATGTCTTGACTAATTCCCAAACCTTTCATTCCCAAATACAATTCTCTCACCTTCTGAATTAATGCAGCCTTACAAAGCCCATCAATTATAGTATTATACCTAACAACATCTAGCCTACAAATAACACCGGATTTTTCATTCCCCTTAGCCATTTCTTCAAGCAACTTATTGCAACCCTCATCTTCCCTGTTTTTACACAATCCATCAATCAAAGTGTTGCAAGTGATGGCATCAGGCCTACAACCAATAACAACCATTTTCTAAAACAATTCCATCGACTCCATAATCATTCCCTCTACACACAGACCTTTAATCAAACAATTAAAATTCATAGCATCACTGCTAAAACCCTTCTTCAAAATCCCCATCTCTCTCTCTCTCTCCCCCCCCCCCCCCCCCCCCCCCCCCCCCCCCCCCCCCCCCAAATGGAAAAACTATCCGAAACCCTTTTATTATTATTATTACAAAAGCAATTCATCAAAATAGTCAACGACATTAAATCTGGAGACAACCCAATTAAATTCAACCACTTATAAAGCAAAATTACTTCATAATAATGCTTCTTCTCTGCAACTGCACTAAACAAAGTTTTGAATGATAAAATTGGAGAAATGGGTTGCGAACTAATCATGTAATAAAAAAAGTACAATGCTTCATTCAGAGTAAAGTTAACTGATTGACAATTTTCTTTGAGGAATTTAGCAAGTAAGGATCGTTCAAGGGGTTTTTTGAAAGAATACAAAACTTCATTTTTGGAGCTTGAAGTTGTGAGGCTGTGTATGCGAGCTAACAAAAATAAAACATTAACTTTCAGAGATGGGTTTTGAGAGATTAAAGACGAACAAAATGGGGATCTCAAAGCCATGTATGAAGAAGTGTTTTTGTGGGTTGTTTTTCCAAAGTACATAAGGTCATTGCAAAATGCAAATGCAATAAAGAGAGATGTTTTTACAAATTTCACAAATAATCTTAAGGTTTTCTAAATTGCAAACTTATCTAAATTATCGATCTTTCCTTTACAAACCACCTTCATGATTTCAAAAATTGCTCACTTAGCACCCTGAAGGTTAAAAATGTAGATCCATATTTAGATGTGGATGGTTTCTTTTCTGTTTGAGGGTGTCTTCTACTTGTTGTGTGTGATTTTTCTACCAAGCTCAGAATATCGTGAAGTTATAGCCCGATCTAGGACCAGCTCAACACTACTGATTATTCGACCCAACATCAGCTCATCGAGCTATAGCTTGACCTAGCACAAGGTAGTCACAACCAACCCTTGTAGTCATTCAACCAATTCACATATAACTTCGATCCTGGATATCTCGGGAAGGATCAAATCGACAACAATCCTTGCAAAATCACAATGCCTAACTGCAAGAATATCGGAGTTGCATTTCGAGTTTAATTGTAATCCATTTATTTTTGCTCTTTCCTTTGTACAAAATCTATTTATAAACCCCCTCCAACGATGAGAAGGAGGGGTTAAAAAACATTTCTAGGATTATCATTGTAAGCTCTCACAGCAAATACAAAGAACAATGGACGTAGACTCAAGAGTTCATCTCGCTGAACCACTTCAAAAATTTATTTTCCATTTACTTTACTGCATTCATTATTCATTCACTGCTGGTTATCCATAATCACACACACACTAATTTCGATCCCGCCAAGGTCTATCGGATCACTCTAGTTGGTGAAGATTTCTGTATCAACACTATTGAATCCCAAACTATCTAATTGATCAAACAAAATGCAACCCAAACCAACCATGGATTTTTTTTGCTCTTTTTTCTTTTAATATTCATTAAAATGTTGTAACTGTAAAATGTCGTAATTTGAAAATCTGATATCCAATTTAAAGTTTTCAAGTGAGATCTTCATGACTCCATAACTCCACTAACATAAAATTAGGAATTAATTAAGCATCAAATTTCATCAAAATGTTTATGTGTTTCTAGACAATTCTGGTCCACTATTCTCTTTACAATTTTGAATGTTGTATGACCTTTTCTTGCAGGTGATCGCCGTGCAATCTTGGATAAGTTTCCTTTGTCAAGCAATATGCCTACTAAATTAGCCAGTTATGGTTGAGGATCACATTTCATGAGAGAGACCAAGAAAGAAAAGTGTTCCAACTTGTTCGATATTATAGAAGATGAAGTTAGTATCCTATTTTCTTCTAAAAACTTTAATTTACTATAATTTTCAATTTACCTAGATAATGATTTTATTATATTTATCCTTCTTGTGTCTATTTAAACTTTAATTATCTGGCAGTGGCTTCTACTGTATAAATTCCTTTAGCATACGAGCCTAATGATGTATTATTTTAATTTGTTTACCTATTTCAAGATAACTTTGATGCTAACGCTATACCTCTTCTGCCTCCAACTGAATGCAATCACATTAGAATAATGTTGTTTACTTTTTAGAAGTATATGAATAATGTTTTGTTATCATGTAAATAAGATTATCAGGCTAATTATATTGCTGAAATATCTATATTACTAAAATAATATTATGTGTAGTTCATTATGATTACTAATTCTATATTATATAACAAAGTTATATTGATTGCCTTGAGGTTTGATATAATAAAAATAATCTAATTTATGAAATAATAAAAATTCATACTGTTACATTATAAGGGTTAAAATAATAGAGTGAGGACAATTTAATAAATATTTACTAATTTATAGATATATGTTCTAGCGGATGAATCGTTTATTAATAATAAGGGGAATAATAAAATTTATGTAATTATAGTAAACCTCAAAGGAGTTGACTTGATGTCTTTTAACTCTTTATGATACTATTATAATGTTCCACATTAGCTCCTCCACAACGTGCACCGTACATTAACAATGTGCACCATAATAGCTGTTATGACCCTAATTGCTTGCAACATTTGGAAACAATGGTATCCATAAAAACTAAATTCTGAAAATAGTTACAAGAATTGGATAACTAATAGTAGAATAATATAATTTACATAAGCATTCTAATGTTCTCTTATATAATACAACTCATTACTGTACACAAAATTAGATGACAGTAATAAGTTAAAAGAACCAATCATGTAATAACCGCTTTCTACTCAAATACTCATAAAACATGTACATAATAAAATACATCTAAAGTAGTATAAAAAGTTGGGCCCAAATTTTTTCTTTTATTAAATATATACATTCTTTATACAAAAGGTTGTATCATGTACAAAAACATCAAAAACAAGGTGTATAGTGTAGCCATATCTCTTCGCTTGTCGACGTCCTTCCGACCGCTGCTCACCTAGGTCCTGCAAAACATAGAAAACAACGGGGTGAGCACAACTAATGCTCAGTAAATAAATCCTCTACTCATCTATCCCCATAACTCTCTCTCTCTAATTCTTTCCTTACAATTCTCATTTACTCTCTTTTATACTTCTCTCTACTTTCTCTTTCTCATAACTCTTTTCTACTAACTCTCTTTAGTAGTCACGACCTCATCTTACTAGAGACACGGCTGGGACTCGCTCCCACTCTATGTGACTTCTACTCATTCTAGCCGATCGAACTCGGTTATGCATGGATTCGAAACCCTTGGCCATGTGAGTCTATAATCTCTCTCTCGGGTACTCGGGTATAGCCCTCATCCGCATGCACTCTCACGAGCTACACCACTTTTCTCTCTCATACTCATGCCGCTCTCTCAATGCGGCGTATATGCGGGAATACTCTACCCATTACTCATGGGTTCCCCATCGCACAACCTACTCTATTCTCTTTTCTCTTTGTTCTCTAGTGCTCATTCTCTCTTTCTCTTTACTCTTGAGGTACCTTATACTCAAATTCTCTACTATGCCTCAAGCTACTTCTTAAGTGCATATAAAAAAAATGCGTATGGACAGCTCACGCTCACTAATGCACTTATGAAATGCCAAATGCAATATTGCATCAAAACAGTCATTCTGCATAGGTCGCACTAAAAAGGGCATAACTTGCGTTATACACATCGGATTGCTACGTTTTTGGTCTTGTTTTAAAGCTTAAATACAGGGCTACAATTTTGATGTTTTGGTCTCAGCCCAGTTCAATCCGTAAGATGCCCAAAATTCACTTAGAAAGTCACGGCTGTGACAGGGCAGATTTCACTTAGGCATTTCCTCAAACAACTCATGTGCATACCAAAGCTCTACTTATCTATAACTCTACTATTCTCTTTAATCATCCAAAATGGGAGGAAAACTCCCTCATACACTCTAATTTCCTGTCAAGGCAAAAACACTCCCATAGGGTTTGCTCAAAACTCCCTCCAACTTCAATCAAACTCAACTCATCATCATGAAATCACAACACTTCTCATAACTCAATTAAATTCATATCAACATAGATAAATACTCATAACATCTCAATTTCTCAGCAAACATAATACATACACAATCTCTACTCAAATAAATTCTTAAATCTCAATTTAGTTTGGATTTACTTACCTTTAATGAAGAGATCTCACTAATACTTTTCCTTTTCCTTAGTACCTTGTCCCTTCTCTACAACTTTAAACCATAAAACCATAAGACTTCAAGATACAAATACAAGCAAAGCTATATCTAAAGCAAGAATCCTTATCTTAGGATGCTTTAGATGAAATCTTCACTAAAAAAATTATCCAAAAGCTCCTTAGAAATCTTGGAAGATTGGATGGAGAATTGAGAGAAGTTAGAGAATGGATATGGCGGTGGAAATGGGTGAAATGAAGGTTTTCTCTACACTTAATCCTTTTAGCTCATATTATAACCATCATTTCCCATTTTACCCTTGCTCTTCCTTGGAAATTCCATCTATATCCTTTGATTCTTTACAAATACACCCCCATCTCCAACACATTCTCTACTAAATTTTCTTACAATTTACTCCCCACTTTTCCTACTAATTAGGGGTAGAATGGTCATTATGCCCCAAAGGAAGAATTCTCTAGAAAACTCAAGAAACTTTTTGTGAGGCTCTTCACCGCGGCGAAGAACATTCTGTCGCCCCGGCGAAACACAGCAGAACCTACCCGTGGGTGCAGCACCTTATTGCTGCGGCGAAGATTGGATTTCCAAAATTCACCTAATCTCAACCAAAACCAAGGCAAACACTTAACCAATACAACATACCATGACAACATACAAACTCAATTAAAACTGAATCAATGAACTTTTAAGTAATACAGCAAATCTTAAGTACGTACCTCAAGTGGGGCGTTACAAATCAATTATGGAAAAATCTTTTTG